CCCAGCCCAGGGCCTCCCAGAGAAGCCGCAGCCAGGAACGAGCCCTCCCCGGGACGTCTCCCCGACTGCCGTCCACCCACTGGGCGCTCTGAGCCCAGTCTTTGCTCCAGGCCCCCCACCAGGCTCTGGGGGCTCCTCCCTGTGGGGCCAGCCCCGACCCTTCCCCCACACCCACAGGCACCCACCTCCGGTCTTCTCACCCTCGGACTCAGCCTCCGTGGGCTCTGCGAGCTCCAGCTGGGCCAGCAGAAGGTGGGCACGGCGCTCCAGGTCAGAACCGGGCATGTTGAGCTGCACATGGGCCACCAGCTGCTTGAGGCAGGGAAAATCTGGGGGCTGACAGAAGTCCTCCGAGTACTGGTCCAGCCAGGTGCCCAGAATGGAGGAGATGGCCCTGGAAGCAGGCGGGCAGGAAGCAAAGTCAGTGGCCTGGCCTGCCCTTCCACACGGCCCCCTGGGGCAGCCCTGGGGATGCTCCATCCAGAGGCCAGGCCCCCCCAGCCCACCTGGCACCGGCCATCCAGGCAGGGGCAGGTGTGGCCAGCAGGTGCAGGGGGCCGGCAGTCTCCACGGGAGGGAGCCCTCCATCACTGGTGTGAGCACCCCTGCCTTCCTCAGGGGAGCCTGCCCCACTCCTCTGTCTGTCTGGGGTCCCTCCTGCTGCACCGGAAACTCCAGGAGGGTGGGGAGGGGGTGCAGTGTCTGCTCTGTCCCGGCCCTGGGGCACACAGAGGAGCTGCAGAAGTCTGTGAGGGAGGAGGGAACGGGCAGTGTCCCTCGGTTCAGCCCGCCTGGGCTCTCTCGGCCCCTCGGTCCCCAGCCCCTGCTCCGATGGCTGCCTGACTCCCTCGCAGGCACGTGGGGTCTCTTCACCGACACTATTCTCGGGGACGGCTGCCCAGCCTGTCCAGGCCCCACGTGCAGCTGGCCCGGGGGACCCAGTGTGAGGCCCCTGTGTGAGCCGGTGGCCCCCGGATTGGGTCAGGGCAGGTGGGGCCCCCAGCCTCCCGTCTGCTCCCTAGGCCCCGGGCCCGCAGCCTCAGCTGTCTGACTCCTGTCCTCCTGCAGGAGAGGCCCCCACCCCGCCGCCCTCCAGCAGCCATGACAGACGCGGGGGAGCCAGGGCTCTGCCCAGCACCCCCAGCCCCACCAAAGCCCCAGATGTCCCCCACCTCGGAGACAGGGGACCCTCCCATCAGACTCAAAGTCCACTCACTTTTTTAACTGGTCCTGGGGTCCACCGTCCTCATCAGAGTAAGGGAGGATGCATCCGTATCTAGAGGAGGCCGTGAGGGCGTCACGTCTACCGTACCTGCTATGATGTCTAGGGTTACCGGCGGACTCCCCGACTAGAACGGAAGCCCAGGAGGGCAGGGAGATTTGTCTGCCCTGTTCCCTGAGTTATGCAAAACGTCTAGAAGGGGCTTCACGTCAGAGAGGGGAAGTGCCACGCCCGAGACACACAGCCTGGAGGTGAGCAGGGAGCCGCTGGGCAGGATAGGGGCCCTGCTCACCTTTTGAACAGCAGGTCCAGGACCTGCTGGGTGGTGGTGAAGGCTCGGTAGGTGCACAGGAAGATGGTGACGTAGGAGAGATCGCTGCCCTGGAAGGCAGGCACCAGGTGCTCCACCAGCTTCTCCAGCGTGCCTGCCTTCACCGTCCGCACCTTGCAGGTCTCATACAGGTTCAGGGCGGCCTCGTTTTCACACTGGGGTGGGATGAAGGAGGGGTGCGTGGTCAGCGGTGGCACGCTGCGCTGCCAGAAGGGCGGGGGACTGGGGCTCAGATGAAGTCCCAAGTGCGCAGTGACGTGTGGCCGCAGAGGAGACACGCGTGTCCCCAGCCGAGAAACCAACTCAGCTTTAGAAGCGGAATTTGTGATGGGGAGTGACGAAAAACGCAGACACAACCCTTCCGGGTCAGTGTGTTGGCTGGAGGAGGAAGAGCATTACCCCCAGGCACCCTGGCAAAACGTGCCCATTCTAGAGATGAGAAGACAGAGGCTCCTTCTGGGCAGGGAAGAGCCACGGGTGTTCCGTGCATCACCGGGGAAACGGCTACAGCAAGGAATGGAGCCCAGGCCCATGGCACTGAAGAGCTGAATCACTGTGACAGCCGTGACAACCGGCCTCCCTTCTGGAATGTTATGTAGCCGAGTCAGGCCCAACCTCTGACCCGGAGGGGTCACGTGGCTGTGCTCCAGGGGACAGCAAATTGTAGAGGAGCCTGAGCCTCCCCCGCCTTTGGGGAGAAACTAGCCCTTCCAGGCGTGGGGACGTGGAAGGCTTGCAGGTGTGGAAGGAGGGGCTGCGGGCTACCTGAGACGGGGGTGCGGGGTGGGGGGCAGGAGCTAAAACCAGACAGACTGGGGCAAAATACAAAATCACCTGGGGCCCAATATGAAGTGGAAACAGTAGAAAAGTGTCTTTGTTGATGTTTATGCAGATATGTGCAGAATGACTTTTTTTTTTTTAAGACAGAGAGAGTGCATGCACGTGCACAGGAGGGGCCGAGGGAGAGGGAGAGAGAGAATCTTAAGCAGGCTCCACACACAGTGCAGGGCCGATGCAGGGCTGGATCTCACGACCCTGAGATCATGACCTGAGCCCAAATCAAGAGTCGGACGCTCCCGGACTGAGTGTCCCAGGCACCGCTGTGCAGAGTGACCTCGCTCCTGGCCAAGCCTCTGAAGCAGCGGGGAGGGCGTGGAGGCCCAGGTTCCTTTGGGAGCGGGACTGTGGGGCCCTTACGCAGGAAGGCCATGGGAGGGAGCCCAACAGAGCGGCCAGAGAGTCTGGAACCCAGGGCCTTCTCAGGGTCCCGGGGGTGGAGGCCCCGCAGCTGCACTCACCCCAAGCCAGCGCTGGCCCTTGTTGGCACCGTGGTGCGCCTGCACCTTTCGCAGGGAGATGGAGTAGATGACCCCGTTGACCAGCTCCTCACCAATCTCCTGCGTGCAGCTCTGCAGAGACAGTGCCCGGCCACCGGGCGGGGGTGTCAGGGGCTGCCCCCACGAGCCTTCTGGTCCCCAGGCCAGCATGAAATGGGCCGACAGCTCGAGGGCTCGGGAGTCATGTCGGGGCAGGTGGTCGCTGCCCCCAGCCCTCCCCTTCCCACCCCATCAGCCACCAGCTAGGTATGAACAAGACCAGCCCTCCAGGCTCCCGAAGCCCCCAGCAACCTACTCACGCCCAGGCGGGATCACTTCCCCTGCCCCAAGAGGGGTATTGTTTTTCGGTCATGTTTCAGATGAGTACGCGGAGGCTGAGGGAAGGGCGCCACCATGGGTAAATGGTAGCCCCAGGAACCCCAAGGCCCTCCTCATCTCTCCCCAGCCCTTCCTGCCCCCACCCCAGCTGACCCAGCAGGCATGGGTAGCTCCTCCTGGCCCAGCCCTGGGGTCAGCATCACAGGTCGGGGGCAGATGTAGGGCATCCCCGGCGGCCACATCTGAGGCCACTTCCTTCCCTTTCTGCTCATTCATGCCCTTGTGCCTTCTTGGGCAACAGAGGAGCTCCCGGTTCCCTGTCTGGCATCCCATGCATGGGGACAGGGTGCAAACGGTGACTGTGCAGACATCTGGGCAGACTGGGGTTTCACAGGGGACAGGAAGGGCGATCGTCTGGCTGCTGCCTGGACCCGGAGCAGAAAGGAAAGGCCCTTGTTTTAGGCGGCAGCGACCCCTCCCACTGGGCAGGCTGGCCCTGGCTGGCGAAGGCCACTTAGCCACATCGGCTCCGGCTTCAGCCTGTCCAGGGAAGGGGGAGCCTGCAGTGGGGCGGGGGCCTCTGAGGGCTTAGGGAGGAGCTGGGAGGTGCCAGCTGGCCCAGGACCATCAATCAACGGTCCACAACAGCGGCCGGGACCGCGGGTCACTGCCCTAACTCAAGGTGGGTGTGGAGCTTACGGAAGACCCAGGCAAAAGTGCTGACTCGGCCCACCCACAGCCTTCCCTGAAGCCCTCGGCCTTAGCCGGGCCTCTGCTGCACCCCCGAGGTCAGCGACAGGGTGCCGGGGCCTCTCACCTCCTCCCACCCCTGTGCGCCGCGGGAGGCCAGCTGCCCTCTGGAAGGCCACTTCCTTTGACCTGTGGCCGCCCTCCCACGCTGCGCACTGCACCAAGGGGGAAGCTGCTGCCATCATTCTCTCCAGAGAGAGAGCCAGCCTGTTTCTGGGGAGTTAGCAGGGAACCCACAGGCACAGGTCCCCCTGGGCGGCACCTCCCACACCCACACCCCTCCAATGACCCAGGCCTGCGGAGGTCCAGCCCCTCTACCGAGCTGGGGAGACTCCTCCTGAAGCCAAAAAGCTGAGACATATGCTCACTTTCCCTCCCCCGCATGGAAGAGCCCTCAGAGGAAACAGGCTGCAGACGGGGGGGCCCCACCACCCTGCCATGTCCTCAGGAGTCCCAGGTTATTTCCCGCAGAGGCCGAGCCTGGGCTGGAAGGGCCCGGCCTTCTCCAGGGCTATTTTAGCCACGTGTGGCCCAGGGGAGGGACACCCGGGTTGCGGGCAGTGATCTGGAGGCCCCGCGCAGGACCGGTCCCGCCAGAGGGCCCCGCACTTGAACTCCACACAGCACCTGGCTCCCAGTGGGGCTCCGTCAAGGCCTCTCGGCCAGGCTGGCCATGGCGGGGTGGGGGTGGGGGGGCTGCGGGCAGGCAGTGGCCATCTCCTGGAAGGTCCAGAGAGCAGTCCCCCCCTTCCCACAGAGAGCTGTGGGCCTTGCTGGCAGAGCAGCTGGCCTGCGCATCACATGGTCCCCAAGCCCCGCCCCCACCCCCCAGGGGCCCCC